GACCCTACTCCCTGACCCTAACCCTAATAACTATCCCTAACCCCTAAACCCTACCCTAACCCCTGACCCTAATCCCTAATCCCTAACCCTTACCCTAAGCTCTAATCCAAACCCCGAAACTCTAACCCCCAGCCCTTCCCTAACCCCTACCCTAACCCCTAACCTTAACCCTAACCCCTACCCTAAACCCCAGCCCTCACCTGACCCCTAACCCCCAGCCCCATCCCTAACCCTGACCCGAATCCCTAACCCCAACCATATGCCCTAAACCCTACCCTAACCCCTAACCCTAACCCTAACCCTAATCTCTAATAATCACCCTAAGCCCGAATCCTAACCTCTAAACACTACCCTAACCCCTACCCCCTAACCCTCACCTCTACCCTAACCACCACCTCAACCCCAGCCAGCCTCCAGCGCTCCGGAGCGGAGAGAGCCTCCCCACCAAAGGGGGGAGGGGGGGGGGTCCGAAATCGCCCCCTCCCCCCCGCCTCCAGCGCCAAGGGGGGGGGAGGGGTCCGAAAATGTCCCCCACCCTTGGAGGGGGGGGGGCACTCCCCCCCTTTTCAATTTCGAAGTGATCCACTGGCGCTCTTTCCTCGTGAAGGCCTCTTGGACCGTCTTGGCGGCCTTTGGGGCTGTCTTGGGGCAATCGCGGGCTGTCTTCTGGTCATCTTGGGCCGTCTTGGAGGCATCTTGGGTCATTTTGGCGGCCTTGGTGGCCTGCCTCGCCCGTCCGGGAATGCATCTTGGACGCGGAGGGGGGGTGCGGTGCGCGCGAGACAGCGTGACCGATTACCGGAGAGCATTTGTTATTCGACCCCGCCTCAACGTCCCAGGGGGCACGGTGGCGGACCTGGCAAAGTCGTGCTCACTGTATCGTGCAACGTTGTCGAGTTTGGCCATACAGCAGTGCCATCTGGCTTTACTGAACTGTTCCAACAGCATCCCAGGAGTTGCCTTTCACTTTCCGCCCCAGACATCCGACTATGTGATGTCCCACCCCTCCTGTATGTTGGGTCCTCGTTTTGAGTTCGCAGTGCTGCGCATCACCTCCTCCGTCCCACCTCCCTCTTCCTCATCCTGAGATTGTCCCCAATGATCCTGTGTGTTATGTCCTGGTTTTGTATCCCAGCGCTCCACCTCCTCTCCCCCATCCTCATGTCCTCTTACTCCTCATCCTTGTCATCAGCATCATCCTCGTCGTCGTCACCATCGGCGTTGTCGTCGTCAGTATCATCATCTATAGACTCGCTGCCACCATGTCCATTACTATTACCGTTTCGCCCGACCCGCGCGCGTTTCGCTGCCCATGGGGAGCTCCACCGAACGCTCATGTGACTGCGTCCATCCGGCGGCAACGCCCCATTTTGGCGCAACCCTCATACGCTTCGTGGCCGCACAGGGAGTTCCACCGAACGCCCCCCGAGGGCTGGTGCCGCATAGCGCCCCCCGGCCCATCTCTGCGCATCCCTGACACGCGGATGCGCCCGCATTGCAGCCCGCCCCATTTCTGCACCCTCACACGGCTCGTGGCCCCACAGGGAGTTTCACCGAAGGCGCCAGTTGTTGCGTCCGCATGGTGACCCGCCACATTTCAGCATACCCCTCACACGCTTCGTGGCCCCATAGGGGGCTCCTCCGATGTCCTCCTCCGTCCCATTTCAGCACGCACCGTATACGTGCCGTGGCCCCACAGGAGCTACACCGAAGGCCCGCTTGGACTGACCCGCATGCTGTCACGCCACACTTCAGCAAACCTCTCACATGCTTCGGGGCCCCATGTGGCGCTCCACCGAAGGCCCCAGTAGATCCGTCCGTATAGCGACCCGCCCCATTGCGGTACAGGCATCGTTTTGAGAAAGGGTTGGTTTCTTCGCCAAGCCAATTCCCAACCCTCCCTAGTTGGGTGTCGTTTTGAATAGAGCACTGCGGGCTCCACTTCTCCTTCTCCTTCTCCTCCCGCCTCCCGCCTCCAGCCCCCCCTTCGTCTTGTCTCCTCTTGCCTTGTGCGTAATTGCCGCTTGTGTATGCATGCTGATTGCGGTACCTGTCTCCGATGTTGCGATCTGCGAAATGGTCGCCAGTTTCGAGGGCTCTTGGTTGGTGGGTCCAGTGGAGTGAGGCACCGCGCGGATCTGAGCGAGACCCCCCCGTCTCTGGGGGGCTGCGATCTGCGAAAGTGTCGGCACTTGCGAGGGCTGCTGGTGGGCCTGGCGGGCCCAGCGGAGAGAGGCACCGCGCGGATCTGAGCGAGACCTCGCCGTCCTTGAGGGGGCTGCGATCTGCGAAATTGTCGCCACTCTCGAGGCCGCGCGGATCCGAGCGAGACTTCTCCGTCCTTGAGGGGGCTGCGATCTGCGAAATTGTCGCCACTTTCGAGGGCTGCTGGTTGGTGCGTCCAGTGGAGTGAGGCACCGCGCGGATCTGAGCGACACCCCCCGTCCCTGGGGGACTGCGATCTGCGAATGTGTCTCCACTTTCGAGGGCTGATGGTGGGTCCAGCGGAGTGAGGCACCGCGCGGATCTGAGCGAGACCTCCCTCCCCGTCCTTGGGGGGCTCCGATCTGCGAATATGTCGCCACGTTTCGAGACCTGCTGGTGGGCCCAGCGGAGTGAGGCACCGCGCGGATCTGAGCGAGACTCGCCGTCCTTGAAGAGTTGTGATCTGCGAAGTTGTCGCCACGTTCGAGGGTTGCTGGTGATCCCATCGGAGTGAGGCACCGCGCGGATCTGAGCGAGGCCTCGCCGCTCTTGAGGGGCGGCGATCTGCGAATCTGTCGCCACTTTCGAGGGCTGCTGGTGGGTCCAGCGGGGTGAGGCACCGCGCGGATCTGAGCGAGACCTCCCTCCCCGTCCTTAGGGGGCTGCGATCTGCGAATCTGTCGCCTTTTTCGAGACCTGCTGGTGGGCCCCGCGGAGTGAGGCACCGCTCGGATCTGAGCGAGACCTCGCCGTCCTTGGGTGGCTGCGATTTGCGACGCCGTCGCCACTTTCGAGGGCTGCTGGTGGGTCCAGCGGAGCGAGGCACCGCGCGGATCTGAGCGAGACCTCGCCGTCTTTGGGGGGCCGCGAGTTGGAAAGTGTCGCCATTTTCGAGGGTTGCTGGTGGGTCCGTGAGGCACCGCGCAGATCTGAGCGAGACCTCGCCGTCCCTGGGGGGCTACGATCTGCGAATATGTCTCCACTCGAGGGCTGCTGGCGGGTCCAGCGGAATGAGGCACCGCGCAGATCTGAGCGGGACCTCGCCGTCCTTGCGGGGCTGCGATCTGCGAGGCCGTCGCTATTTTCGAAGGTTGGTGGCGGGTCTAGCGGAGTGAGGCACCACGGAGATCTGAGCTGGACCTCGCAATCTTTGGGGGGCTGCGAGCCTCATGCATGCCGCTCGCATAAGTATATGCGCCCATGCCACGTCATCACCTCTACATAACGTCTCCCAAGCTACTCAACAGTGCCCCCCGCGTCTCCTGCTCTCATCCTCGCCTTCCTCCCTCCTCCCATCCTTGATTCTGCCCTCCGCATACTCGCCTCGGCACACCCCTCAGACGTTTCGTGGCCGCATGGGGAGTTCCACCGACCGCCCCAAGGGGTGGTACCGCATCGCGTCACCCAGCCCAGTTCGACACATCCCTCACGCGTTTCGTGGCCCCATGGGTGGCCCCACTAAACGCCCCAGGGACTGGGCCCCAGGGGGTGCGTCACCCAGCGGATTTCAGCACACCCCTCACGTGCGTCGTGGCTCCATAGGGAGCTCCACCGAACCCCAGGAGGTGATACCGCACAGCGTTCCCAATCAAATGTTGGCACACCCTTCACAGCTTCCACGGCTCATACGTAGATTCACAGAAAGCCCTAGTAGGTGGTACCGCATGGCGTCAGCCCATTTCGGCACACCCCTCACACGATTCTTGGCCCCAAACGGACGCCACCGAACGCCTAACAGAGGTTTGGACTGCATAGCGCCCCCCCAGTCCATCTCGGCACACCCCTCACACGCTTCGTGGCCCCATTTGGAGCTCCACTGAAGCCTGCAGGGGGTGGTTTTGCACAGCATCCCTCAAGTAATTTCGGAAAAAAACTCTCATACGTTTTGTGGCCCTATGGGGAGCTCCGCGAATGCCCCAAGGGGTGGTACCGCATGGCGTCTACTGGTCTACTTCGGCACACCCCAGCACACCCCCCTCACAGCCCTCCACCGATGCTCCCAGTGGGTGGTGCCGCATTGCGTCCAGCTCCACCGACGCTCCCAGGGGGTGGGGCACACCTCTCATCTGTTTCGTGGCACCGTAGGGAGCTCCACAGAAGCCACCCAAGGCGTGGTGCTGCATAGCGTCCCCTCTCCAATTTTGGCACGCCGCTCACACGCGCCGTGGCCCCATAGGAAGCTCCATCGAAACCTTCAGGGGGTAGTGCCACATGCCGCCCCCCGTTGTTACGGACACGCCCATAACACTATTCGTGGCCCAGTAAGAAGCTCCAAAAGAAGCCTTCAGGAGGTGGTGTCGCATAGCGTCCCTCACGCCCATTCCGGTTTCGTGGTCCCATAGGGAGCTCCACTCGAGGCCCCAGAATGTCCACATGCGGTTTCCCGTCTATGTCAGCACATTTTCTTACACGGTTCCTTTCCAGTTCGCCGTACCCCTCACACGTTTTGACCAAGGCGGTGGGTCCACATGCGGTTCCTGGCCCATGGCGGCGCGCCCCACGCACGTTTCTCGGCCCCGTAGAAGATCCTCTTCCCTTGCCCCACCTGCCGCACATTTCAAGTTGGTTGGGCCCTTCGCCAGGATCATTCCGTGGCCCCAGAAACCCCGACTTCTAGGGAGGACATTTGTTGCGTCCCAGAACAATGTAATCATTGTCCCGGATGTGGAAGACATTGGACCGAAGCCGCAATTGCACAAATAATTGACGCCAAGGATAAAAGATCCATCCGCCAGAGGTCTAAGTCTTTGTTCCCCCTCCCTCACCTCGTGTCTCGCGGGCGATCCAACCCGAAGGCGAAAGAGGCTAAGAAGACGGTGCAGAAGCTCCTGACGGAGGCGGAAGACGTGCTCGCGAAGCTGGAGGCCGACCCCCAGGCGGACGTCGGTTATGTGGTCACCGATTTTGGCATTGCGGACTTGCGCCAGGCCCTTCACCTCTTAGTAACGAGTTACTTGCCAGGTGCAGGGATGGAAACACACAGGAGCAGGAGGAGGAGGAGGAGGAGGAGAAGGAGGTGGAGGAGGAGGGGAGGAGGAGGAGGAGGCGCAGGAGGTGGAGGAGTAAGACGAGGAGGATGATGAGGAGGAGGTAGAGAAGGAAGAGAAGGAGGAGACAGGATGATGAGGAAGAGGAGGTAGGAACGGGGAGAAAGATGGGCAAGGCCTTTGAGAGAAGAAGAGCTTGGTGGCATGAACATTAAGGCTAACTGCACACAGCTACCTAGCTAGCGTGCGCCTACAAGGCTGATACGACTGGCATGAGCCTTGTAGCTTCTGCCAGGACAAACCGAGACGCTGCACTCAAAACGGGTGCCACTAGCCACGGCTCTTCCCGCAGCCTTTCAATTACCTCATCACCGTCGGAAAAGCAGCTGAGCAAGTCGAGGTCAGAGACTGAGAGCGCCTTCGCACCCTCGTCAAAACTCGAGCCTGCGGGCGTCTTCGCGCCCGAAGGTAAAGGACCCGTCTGAACGTCGGGTCTGGAAAAATGGTGCCCTGAAAGGGCCGAACCTTCCACCTCACTCGAAAGAGCGCTCATAGCCATCTGATCGGAGGGCGCCTCACCCGAAGAAGGCAGCCCCAAACCAGCGTCAACGAACTCTCCTGGGCGAGCCTTGGAAAGAGGCTCAGCCAAACTAGCAGCTGAACGCGAATCTCATCAGACGGAGGTTCAGCCAAAAAGGGCTCCACAAGCGTAGGGAGAGCCTCGACAGTTGGAGGCTCAGCCAAACCAGCACTTGAAGAGACCACTGAGGGCCCGACTGCAGAATCGGCTTCAGCGACGGACGAGCGAGCCTCATCAGAGGGAGGCTCAGCCAAGAATGCGTTTGAATCCACAACTTCTTTCTCCCTCTTCTTGTGTTTTCTTCTACGGCGCGTGCGATCGCCGATGAAGCAATTCAAGGCCCTAGACTCCTCCTCGGCGGGGTGCGGGAATACGGACCGGTGGGGGCGGCGGCAGCACCCGCAACGCAGAGTTGCTCGATGCAGTTCTTGCTGGCGGGGGTGCTGGCGGCCACTCCTTCAAGCCCGCCTTGGCCTCCTCCGAGCGGACGTCCTTGTGCTTCTTGTGATTGCGCTTCCGAGGGCGCTTGGCCACTGGCACCTCCGGAGCTGGCGGCGGCGTCGGGATCTTCATACAAGACCTCGGAGCGTCCAGAGGTTCCGGACTATGAGAAAATACCTCCTTAACGACCGGCGGTGTCAGGGACCCTCCTTCGAAAATTCTCCTTCAAAACCGGGGCCACAGGCTGAGCCGACGCCGTCTGGTTGACGTTCAAACGGTCCCATCTCCTCAGGCGTTTTACTGACTGCACCTCCTCCTCTGGCTTCATCGGCAGGGAAACCTGCTCCGGAAATTGCACGCCCTTGTTGAATTCCTTGTTCACCACGTCGAACGGGCTCCACGTCCCTGGCGGCGGCGACAGGGGTGCAGCCGTAGATCCTCCTGCGAAAACGACGATCTCGAGCTCATCGTTAGAAACTCCAAGTACTGAGAGAATTCACGAATACGGTGTCCTAGCGAGGTGCCCAGCAGATCCTCCGGCACAAATAAACGCATGGGTGGGCCTTGAGCCATCATGGCTTGCGCAAATTGGCTACGGACTTTGAGAGAGGAAGGAATAACACGGGTAGAGGAGGAGGAGGAGGAGGAGGAGGAGGAAGAGGAGGAAGAGGAAGAGAGGAGGAGGAGGAGGAGGTGGAGGCGGCGAGGACAGTCCGTAGTCATTTTGGCTCAAGCCATTTTGGCTCAATTTATCCATTTTTTGAGGTGGCTTACAGAGAGTTTGCGAGCGGTGGGTAGGTAGGCGGTTTTGCCTCGCCCACTTGCTTTTGCCTTCTTCTATCTTTCGGGGACCCGCAAGTGGCTGCCAGGCCAGGGTCGCCCTTCCGTTCACAGGCCGAGGGGCCTCATCCCTCACTCCTCGGCGCGCCCCATGCAGGGCAAGGATGTCCTCATCGGGCCCAAGGGCCGCGTTGGGCTTGCGGGAAGTGCAGCCGCGCGGATAATTGGGCCTCGCGCATCCGCTGTGTCTGCAGGGCTCAAGCGCCAGCGGCGGTTTGCAAGGCGGCCAACGCGGCTCATGAGAAGGCGGTTGTTGGCGGGGCAGCAGCGCGTGGGGGGCCACGCGGGGCCCGGGCGCAGCCCAAGGACCTCGCCAAGCTGGCCCGGGCGCAGGTGGCCAAGGCGCCGGGGCAGCTCTTCCGCGGAGGCGCCGCGGAGACCGCCGAGAAGGGCGCGGATTCTCGCGTCGTCTCGGATCCCGCCCAGGACTTGCAGGCTCGCATCAGTCACTGGCGCAGCCGCGCCAAGGGGGCCACCGGCGAGGTTGACAAGCAGTTCTTCGAGGTCAAGGTATCAGAGCTGCAGGAGCTTCTCCTCGAGACCAAGTCGCCCGAGGCCGCGCAGGCCTCCGTCACCCAGCGGCTGCAGCGCGCCAGGGCGGCCAAGGTCAAGGCTGATGCGACGCTCGAGGCCAAGAAGGTTGCAGTCGCGAAGGCCAAGGATAAGCTCGACGAGGAGGTCGCGGCCTTGGAAGCAGCCTCTGTGGAGGCAGCTTGTTCCTTGCTGGCCTTGGAGAGCGAGGCCGCGACGACCTTCCAGAAGCAGCGCGGCGGCGGCGCAGTGCTCAGCCTGGAGCTCTCCGCCGAGCAGTACCAGGCAGCGGGCGAGGGGTTCGCCGAATGGCTCGCTGCCGAGAAGGAGCAGGGCAAACTCGGGAAGCTCGTCGCCTTGCTGCAGGAGCAGGCGAGTGCAGGTGCAGTCAGTGCTGCGGCGGCTCCTGCTGATGCTGATGATGGCGGCCTCCTTGCTGATGGTTCCACGGCAGGCGACCAGGAGATGGGGCTCGACGAAGATCCCCAATGTCGCCTCATCGAGTTTGCCGAGCAGGCCGCGACTTGCAGCGTGGGCGCCGACCCCGAGAAGCGCCGCGCCGCGGTCAAGAGGGCCCTGGAGGACAAGCTCAAGGGCTTCAAGGTCAAGTCGACAATTCGGAAGCAGCGACGGTTTTAGCGGCCGCCAGGGATCGTCGAGAGAGACGGTCTGGCGCTTCTGCTCAGCCAACGGCAACACGCGGGCCAGCAGCACAGGCCGCAACTCGTTCCAGGCGATCGTCGACTGGAGGTTGGCGGAGCGCACGACCAGTGTCATGGCGCCGCCCCACTACTGGGCAGGTCAGGAGACGCGCAGGCGCGACGGCGATGAGTCGCGCAGCGTGTCCAGCTGGCTGACGCTGCAGGGGCGCAGCGCTGCGGTCACGCCCTGCCTGGCCAGGGGCAAGCACAAGCTGGCCGCGCCCTCGGGGGTCGTGGCGCGCGCGGCCAAGCACCTCACGGCCGCGACCTACAGGTGCGATGACCTGGGCGGCCTGGCCAAGCTGCGGGCGGGTAGGATCGCTAGCCTCAAGGCTCAGGCGGCGGTGCCAGGCGGGATGCGGTTCTTCTCTGTCCACTTGCTCGATGGGCTCGGCTTCGGGGGCAAGTGCATCGCGCACCTGCGCAGCCTGGGCCGCTGGCTGGCGGAGCTGCGCGCGCCGTGGGTGACCGGCGGTGACTGGAACATGCCCGCCAGTGGCGGCGGGGGGCGCGACCTGCCACCCAAGCTCTGGGGCGCCGAGGGAGCTGGACTTCTTTGTTGTTTCGCGCGGGCTTGCCTCTTGCGCGCGCCTGGCCATTGCGCGCGCGCGGAGGCGCCCTCGGCCCTCCTCTCGCCGATCGAGCTGTGCATCTGTGGTTTCTCGCTGAACCTGTCCGCCCAAGTCCGCCTGAAGCGGGGGAAGTCCCCGACGGCGAGGCGGGTGGGGCGCCTCCCCGAGCCACTGGTCCACAGCTGGAGCTGGGCGGAGGGGGATGCCCTAGAGGCTTGGGGGCTCCGTTGGGGCGTGGCAGGAGTGGCTCAGGAACATGGGGGATGAGCTCTGCTGCCAGTTTGACCTTCAAGGGCCAGCAGGCAAGAAGCATCGCGGAAGGGCCGACGGCATGAGTTTTCGCACCGTCACGCTGGACGCGTTGGTCAAGAGACGCCAGCTGCCAGGCCAGTCGGAGGCTGCCAGGGCTTGGCGGTCTCTGGCCGCGGCGCTGGGCAGGGCGAGGTCGCTCTGGAACGGCCGCGCCGGCTCCGACCGCAGCGGGGGGGGGGGGGCATCGGGTGCGAGCGGGTTGCCGCGGACGCGCGGGTGGTCGATGCCTCCCGCAGCACCCAGCTCACCGCCGACGCCGCCGACGGGCGGGTGGCCGATGCCGCCCGCGCTTCGAGCGCTGCCCCCCCCCCCCCCCCCCCCCCCCCCCCCCCGCATGGTCAGGATGTTTTTGAGGTCGTGCTGCCGCCTGGTGGGCGGCCCTTCCTGCGAGGGCGCGGAGCTTGCGACGCCCCCCATGCGCAGCTGCGGCCCGGGCCTGGTCGCGGGCCCCAGCCCTCGCGGGCTAGGGGGAACGCGGGCCAGGGGCTGCCCGGAGTGGAAGGCCTGGTGCCCCGCGCGCAGGGCCTTGCCGAGGGTTCGTTGAGGGTTGAGCGACCAGTGTCGCAGCAGGCAGCCCGAGAGACCAGTGCCCCCCCTCATGCTGGAAGGGGAAACTCGGGTGCAGCAGAGCCGTGGAGCAGCTGCGGGCGTGGCCCGATGAGCTGCGTGGCCAGGTGCGCGACCTCCACGCGGCCTTCGGCCGCGAGGCCGACGGCCGCCTCGGGCCCAGTGAGGTGGCCGACTGCAGCTTCGCGATTCCTGACCTCGGGGCGGCGCTGCTCGCAGGCGGGGCCAGCTTGGCCCAGGCTGAGGGGCGCCTTCGCGAGCATGCCGACGCGGTCGGCAAGCAGCAGCAGCAGGCCGCCTTTCACCGCTGGTAGGACTGGGCTGGAGGAGCGGTGCTCAAGGGCGGGGCGGAGGCCCACAGGCGTAGCAAGGTCTTTTCAGCCCTCGACGGGCCCT